ACCCCAAAAAACCCCAAAACCCAACAGCAACAAAAAAAACCCCTAAAAAAACCAACCCAAGGACAGAGTGAAAAGACTCTGCTGCTTCATAAGGGCCATTCTCTTCCTCATCTCCTCTGTGCTCAGACTGGTCTGAGAGTCAGTTGGAGAAATGGTGGAAAATCTTTCCTCATCTCCTCTGTGCTCAGACTGGTCTGTCAGTTGGAGAAATGGTGGAAAATCTATCTTGAAAAGAAGAGCAAAGATAGGTAACCTTCATCTTGTAGAATTTACCAATCAGAAGGAAAATATTACTGGCAGCTTTTCCAAAGTGTTGGTGACCCCAGTGGAAGGGAGGGTTTGAAGAGCCTCCTGGACACCGAAGAACCTTTCTGTGCTAGGCTTTGGTGGTGCATTCTTCTTGTCCACGTGGCTTCTTCATGCTTGTCCTTTTGGTACAGGTCATCTCGCTGTTGACTTATTGCTTAAATAGAGGACTGTCAAAGCCTAATTTAGAATGTCTTTTTGTCCCTGCAGTTGTCCTGAAATCAGTTCCCAGATTGACGCTTATTTTTTGCAGTCATGCTCTTAGTAATTCCTTGTCACACACCTCCTGTGCTTTTGACTGTTTTTATGGGTGCCATATTTAAGCTGTTTCATGTATTTTCCATTGTATCATCTCTGCTTCAAGCAAGATTGCCTGTTTTAACACAGCACAGAGAAAGCTGGGGAGCTTTCTGTTCTCCGTAGCTGGGCCACAGATGGCCCAGGGCACGTTATTCAAAGTGGAGATACAAACTGAGACACTTGCTCCTTCTTTTTGTCCCTGGTAGTCTCTCAGTATTTGGTTTCTATATGTCTCTGTTCTATTTCAAGTCTCTTAAGAGCTCCCTTGGTGTTTGACCAGCAGTAGAATGTCTGATGTCAAGAATAAATCTTCCCTCCGCTATTTCTCACGCACCAAGTTGTGCAGCTTTTCCATCACACATCGTGTGCATGGAATGGAGTAATGGCAAAAGCCAACAAGAGTATGGCCTCATCCCTTTTCCTCTTGTAGTGCCATCCTTCCTATTTCCTGATGCTGTATAATGGCTTATTTCAAGGGTAAGTCTATCAATATTATTCTATTGATAAACTTTACCAGAATGGCATATCCTACACCTTCTTTACCCCAACTTGTTTGCTGCTTGGTACTTTTGCTGGATTCTGCATGCATTATCTTACTCTGAGAAGCATAAAATGCCATTATTCATGTATATACCAATAAACTACAAGTGCTGTTACCAGCAAATAAAATTATCTAGCCCTTACTGACCACAGTATTTGAGTCTTGTAATCACCTATGGCATAATTTATAAATTTACTTCTCAGTAATGTGAAGCAAAATTTATGACATAATGCTTGCTTATATCCCCCTTGTTCCTATTATTGTAAAAGATTAAAGGCTGTTTGGTTTTCACACTGACCTCTGGCGTTTTGAATCACATTCACATCCTGTCTAATAATTCCTCCCAGGCTAGATAATCCTGTGCACAGTCTCATTCTGTAAAATATGTCAGTCTTGGCATACTTCTGACCATCTGTGTTGTTCTTCCGTAGATCTTGTAATCTCTTACTATATCTTCTCTAGATTAAGGCAACTAAACCTGGATGTGATGCTCTATTGTCAAAGTTTGTATTCTTGTATTAGTCCACACAATGTTCAAAAATTCAGAATAAAATACAAGAGACCCTTCACCACTCTGATGAGAGCATTTGCCAGGGAAAGACTTGCTTTCGGGTTTCTCTCTGGGTTTATCCGAAGTTCAAATTGTACTTGAGTTGAGACTCTTTAATGTCCCCTAGAATGCTGTATGTTTTCTGGGCACAGTGATGATGACAGATAGGTGTTGAGGTACTGAAGAGGATTCAAGTTTTGATAGTGAAATAGCGAAGTGAGGGAGAAACTGAGGAAAGTTGGAGGTTTTTTTGTTCGCTTTTAAGCTCCAAGTATGTGTGCCATGGCTTGAGTAAACTACCCTGTATGTAAGACTGCCTGTCTCCATGTATGTGACTGACTTTATGATAGTTTTCTGCAGTAACCTGCACGACATAAACACTAGGGAGAAGAGAAATTTGATGGTTGCCTGGAGGACAATAGTTTCTAGTTATGAGAGGGAAATGAGACGACCTTTTTTGAGAAGAAAAGTCTAGTGAAATGTATTATGCTGTTGAACCATTTCCCTGGGGAAGGAATGTCAGTGTTGTCATTCTCACACAATTAAATACCGAGAAGCATATATTATTTAATTATACGGTGAAAAAGGAATTAATAATACGACTTGACATATTTTTGCTGCTTTCACCCTACAGGATTCAGTTCTACCAAAGAAAGAGGTAGATCCTGTGAGAATAAATTGCTGTGAGAGCATTTTTACATTGTTCTCGTTGTATAAAAAATGAGATTGGTAGAGAATAAAGTATCAGAGAAAGCTATTTTATTGCTAGAATTCTAGCTAGCTTTGGTCGGCAGGGTCATGTGCAATTAAGTCCCAAGTCAGTGGAATTGTTTGAAATTTTTTTAAGAAGCATGAGTGAAAGAAAAGCATTTTCCTGGGACCTAAGGTTTAAAGCATAAATTTTAGCATTAACAGTACTGCTACTTAGTAGAATGACAGAGATAAAAACAGAAGTAAGCACAAAGATTGAGCCCTGGAGAGGAAAAAAATAGAATTTTACTTAAACTGTTAGTACTCTTTGGTGTGGGCTGCCACCTTGTGGAAGTTTTTTGCATGTCATATCTTTTATCAAATCTCTTGCAAATCCTCCTGACTCTCTTCAGTCACTGTAGATAATACTGTTTGCATAGATCTGCCTTGGTCTTTAATAGCCCGTCCATCACCTGATTTTTTAAGGTAATCTGAACTTTCAATGTAATTTAGGGATGAAGAAATCTTACCTCAGGAGGTTTAAAGTCTGTGGCAAGGAGAATTTTCCTTAGCTTGCCCCGTGGGCTTGGAGATCAGCCATGGCGAGAGCATGATCAGTGCAGAGGCTGTGGTATAATTGTGTTGTCAGAAAGCTCTGAAGGGAACTGTAATCACATTATGCACTTTGTTATGTTAACACAATCACTACAGCAGCTGGAAAGGAGTTATTCCATGGTTGTCTTCAGCAGGACATTGGAATTGCAGGGAGAAAGAGCAAACGTGGACATGCCTGCTGTCTCAGCTGACAGACCACTTCATTTTGCGTTATAAAGAATTCTTCTCCCAATGTGTTCAGATGTCTGGCATTCAGGTTGTATCTCCGTAGGGGTGTGTTGTTAATCCACAGGACCTTGGTTGCAAATGTTTCACATCAGGCGTTGGATGCTTTTGCCCTGCTTAGAGGCATAGTGGAAAGGTGAAGGTGGAGTAGATGACTGGTCTTCTGCCAAAAAGCAAAGTGAGTTTACCAAAATACTTCACAAGCAAGTGAAGTACCAAAAAGCAAAGTGAGTTTACCAAAATACTAGGGTGGCTACCGCAAGCAAGTGAAGTCATGATCTCTCCTGTATGGTAGTGTATACAGAGCTGAGCTGAGGCCCTGTCAGGGAGACAGAGGCCATCTGTGTCTGGTTTTCTGCTTCCAGATTTGATTCTCCTTCTGCTCTTGGTTCTTTTCTGTCTTTATGTCCATCCCATGAAGCACCAGTGGGCTTGTCGCTTTCCTGATTTCCTACACTTGAAGGTAGCTCTCCCTTCCTTCATATAAGCAATTATCTGCTTATAACTTTGACTAAATAAATACAAACATGAGTCTTCTGGGGTAATTTCCTAGCCACCTTTCTCTTCTAGACCTCTTTCAATGATTCTGCTGGTTTTTTTTCAAATGGTAAAGAGATGCTGGTAAGGGCTTCTTTCTTCTACCTCTTTTGCTACTATCCTCATGTTTGGAGTTGGATGCTGAGATATCACTGTGAGTAATGACTAGGTGCTGTTTTATTTTTTCCATGCAGCGTCCAAGTAAATTGAAGCAAAATACTCTGAGCTGGCAGGGTGGGAGTGTGCTCTGACCCCCTCTCAGTGAAGGTGATGTGAATTCCACCTCTGACGTTGGCAAAGGCTAGATTTGGGAGGAAACTGTAATAGTACTGTTTAGTAGTTCACAGATTTAATGAAGGTGCAACTAACTCCTGCTTCTGATTTCAGTGCACAAAGATCACAGATCAGATGGGAAGTGGTATAACGGCCACTTTGAGCAAGTAGTAGAAGATGGCCAGTTTTTAGGCCCCCTGTAGTGCAATACTCTTCCATTGTTCTGAAGACCTGCCCTGTGACTTAGGGTGGGAACCTTATTTCCTTAACCAGACATGGTTAAAAATGAGAAGCAAAGTGAAATTAATTTTATGTCTTATTAGCAGCTTTGCATTTCCTTCAGGTTCCTTCACTGACAGAGAGTAGCAGAAGTTGAGCTTCCTGTAGATAATAAACCTAGAAATATGATTTTTGTGACATTGAACCCCAGCAAACAACAGTAAATCTATGACAACTCACACTACAACCCAACCTGGCCAATGGGACTGGGAATTTTATGACAAATACATATTGAAATGATACTATTGATTGTAATTATCTCCATGACTTCTTTGCCTGCTCTAGGGTGAGGAAATATGGGGCTGGATACTCTGAGACATTGTAGATGACTGCAGAAATAAGCGCAATGGATCATTCTTTCAAATAATGTTTTTTATCTTGCTACAGAAAAATTTCATTGGGTTGCGCTGTTGGGAGATCAATAGGTAGCCCTAATTTCATGTGCTGAGTCATTAAAAAGATAATTCTGTCATCCAGTGCCTCTTGAGTAGATTTATAAGTATAGGTGACATGACCAAGTCTAAGTAAGAACATTTAGTCTCACTTCATTTCAGCACCAAGCCAGTGAGAGCATTACTGCCCAACCCGAGGATTTGCTTGAGAAACTCTTTTTCAGAGTTGGGGGAAGGAGCCAGCGCCATTTATTTTAACTGTGAAACCTTTCTTTTGTTTGTCCCTTTGCAGTTATGTGGCTGTGGTCTGCTGGGTGTGGGCATCTGGCTGTCGGTGTCGCAAGGAAACTTCGCCACGTTTTCTCCTAGCTTCCCGTCGCTCTCCGCTGCCAACCTGGTCATTGCCATCGGCACAGTCATCATGGTGACAGGCTTTCTGGGCTGTCTCGGTGCTATCAAGGAAAACAAGTGCCTCCTGTTGAGTGTAAGACATAATACTTCTTTTCACTAAGACCAATGACCGGTGTTTTGTTATTATTTTATTTAAATGAACGGTCTTGTAACATTGCTCTTGACTTTCAATCTTCTGTATGCTTGCAGTATGACATCCCACAGATTTGGTCACAGTAAGATCATTGGTGTATTGGCAAATTTATCCTTGTTACATTGTGCCCTAATGGATTAGATAGCAAAGCAAATTATTCTCAGTTACCTCTGAATGGTTAAACATAAACTGTAGGGTCAACCTGGATAGCCCTTCTGGAAATGTCTGTTAGAAGGATCCACTAAAGATCTTAAGCACAGCTGCTTTTGGATGCCATTCAAAGCCTCTCATGGCTGTTTTTTTTGCTCTTATTTACGGCCTTTGTCACAGGTTGGTGGAAACCATCTGCCCCAAAGTTAAGAAGTTCTGCCAGGCCTTACCAATAAAAAATAATAATAATATGATCCTTGGCAGTCTTTGTCCAGCACTGAAGCACAGAGGTTGGGAACCCCGCTTAGAAAGCACAGCGTGGGTCACTCCTCTTCCATAAAGCCAGGAGGCTTCATCATGCTTCTCTTAATAGAATCATAGAATGGTTAGAGTCAGAAGGGACCTTAAAGATGACCTGGTTCCAACCCCCCTGCCATGATTAACTTCCAGCTAGTGGAGCTCACACTTGGGATGCCCCTGCAGAGGGAAATTTCAGCTACAGAGTTGGGAATAGAGGTGCTGAGTAATATAATAACTATTCCAACAGGCAGTCAGATGTGGTTAAAGCCCACCTGCTGGGGACTCCTGGGGCACATCACATCGTGATAATGGGTTTAGCATCTGTTCTGTAGTCTGTATGAAGGAAAGAGACGCCTAGGACTGCATGCTGTGACAGCGGTCGGAAAAAGCAAGACAAAAGCATTGCTGAAACCTACAAACTGGTAGAAGGGGAAGCCTTAAGATTCAGAGAATGCTAGACAACCAGATTCCTCATTGATGGTGAGACCTACAGGGGCTTTAGTGGCAATATAGTATCAATACGCTTAAATAGTTTGAAATCAAACTTGCGTGTTTTTGGGCAGTAGAGGAAAGATTTAGAGGACAAGACCTATAGTCTCGGAGTTTCTAGCAGCCCCAGGTTTGCCTCAGGTTGGGAAGTGTGTATACACTGTCTGTTTTTCCTTTGTTCTAGTTTTTCATCGTTTTGCTGATAATTCTCCTGGCAGAGCTGATATTACTCATATTGTTCTTCGTTTATATGGACAAGGTAAGCAAATATGCCATATGGATTAATGATCTGTACTAGCATGTAAACAAGGTTCAGTTTGCTTTTGTTTGATGGAGGTATGTGGGTTCTCCTTGCTCTTCACTTTGGTGAAGGTTTAACCTTGAGATCTTGGCTGTTTTCTGTAAGCCACTTCTGCCGGGGAAGGAGGAGGGCAAACAGGAGAGAAGAACCCACTGAGCTTTACAGTTTCCTCCCTGAAATAAAACCATGGTCGAGGTCCTCCCTTTTAGTCTTCTAAAAGCTGAGATAGCCTTCAACATAGCTGTTTGATGTCTCTGCAAGAAGGTTATCATCTTCTGGATCTGGGTTGTGGAAGGTCCTACTTAAGACCTGGTTAGTTTCTTAGGGCCAACCCTTGAACAGGACTGAAGGAGCAAGGTCTGGGATGGTCACAGGTTATTCCAGATACCACCAGCTGTCTCACTTGACTGGGCAGTCCCAGAGAGTTTGACAAGGGTGCATAGCAGATCAAGAGGCAGCTTCTCATAAAGCCCTTCTGTAGCTCTATCTAGAACTAGAGACCAAGTGAAGTAAGCACAACTGGCTGTCCTGTCAGATAATTAAGACTGGAAAAATCCTTGAGGAACTAGAGAACTCTTCTAAATGCAGGAGAGAGCCTTACAGTATGATCATGTCCAGACTGATTTGAAAACTGAGCTCCTACAAGATTTTTATCTCTTCCCATGTTGTCATTATGATGCCTGCCACTTTCAGGGAGATGTGAACTTCTGATTTTGAATGGGATGTCAAAGAGGGATGAAAGAGATCTCATAATATAGTTGGCCTTTATGCTAAGACCCATAGGTTCATCCTTTCTCTGCTGCCAGCTCACTGTTGTTAAAGCCAAGGTACATTCCCACCTGCACCAAGGACTCCAGGCTCAGACTGAAATTTATACAAGAAACGGGACATCTCAGATGTCCCATTAAGCATTCCAACTTTCTCCTCTAAAGAAAGAAGGGCAGATTTGTAAATCAGAAACCCTACAAGCCTGTCCCCACAAGGAGCACAATAATAATGCCCTTTTTCAATTGATTCTCTAATTGGCCATTAGCCTGCCTGAACCTGTGCAACAGCTAACTGTATTAAGGTTGGGAGGCTCAGACTCTGGTTTTATGATATTAGCAAATTAAGGTAGGCCATACGTTACAGGCAGGAGAGGCTGCTCTGGGGTATTGCCAGCAGCTGTCTCTGGAACAGTTGAAGTAAGCTCAACAGATTTGTGCTGATCACTCTTCAGTTAGTTTGGATCAGGCGGTGACTGTATGATGGACTCTTTACAGTCAGAAACCCTACAAGCCTGTCCCCACAAGGAGCACAATAATAATGCCCTTTTTCAATTGATTCTCTAATTGGCCATTAGCCTGCCTGAACCTGTGCAACAGCTAACTGTATTAAGGTTGGGAGGCTCAGACTCTGGTTTTATGATATTAGCAAATTAAGGTAGGCCATACGTTACAGGCAGGAGAGGCTGCTCTGGGGTATTGCCAGCAGCTGTCTCTGGAACAGTTGAAGTAAGCTCAACAGATTTCTGCTGATCACTCTTCAGTTAGTTTGGATCAGGCAGTGACTGTATGATGGACTCTTAGTAGAGGGGAAGCTGTTTGGTCTCCTACCTTATGAGAATTAGTCCAGTATTTTGCAATCTGAGGGAGAGACTAGGCCTTGGCGCAGTGTCTCACCACCCTCATAGTAAAAAAGTAGAGGGGAAGCTGTTTGGTTTCCTACTTTATGAGAATTAATCCAGTATTTTGCAATCTGAAAGAGAGACTAGGCCTTGGCAGGTGCTGAAAGGTCCCACTGACTTGGGAGGGTCATGAAGCTATGATGAAGCTTTTCTACCCTTGTTAAGTTTGTGGTGAGAGAAAATAAGAGCTATGTTCTATCTGCAAGTCTATACCATGTGGTCCTTTCCTCCAAACAGCAGTGCATTGACTTCCTGTACTTTTTTACATGCCACAGGTCAGTGAGAGCGCAAAGAATGATTTGAAGGAAGGTATGAAGCTATACAATTCAGAAAATAATGTTGGACTGAAAAATGCATGGAATATCATTCAAGCAGAGGTAATGTATTTTCTCAATAGAGGAAAATTATGAATTTGGCCATAAAGGCTGCTGCGGTCTGTTAACTGTTGCATCCATACCAAGTCTAAAAGATGACTAATGCGGGCTTTGGTTTCTGATTTTGCACTCTTGAATGTCCAGGGGGTAGTCTGAAACACAGGATCAGAGTGTACCCTGTAAGGTGAAAGATGCTTACTTCTCTCTCAGATTCTCTGTGCCTATCACAGGCACAGAGATGGTCTGAAAAAGAGGAGAAGCAGCAAAACCTGCATAGGTAGAACTGCAGCTTTGGCAGCTAAGCTTTTGCTGTTTGGCAGTTGTGGGCATATTACAGCATCTTTTGGTGTCTATGCTTATGTCTCTGTGACAAGAAGACTAACATATCCCATGTGCATGGGACCATTTATTTTCTTTTTTTTTTTTTTTAATGCGAAGTATTTGCTTTTAATGATCACTGAGCACAAAGCACTTTAAAAATACAAAAGTGTTGTGGCAGCCCTTTTGAAAATACACAGTGGTTTAGTGGAAGTTTGTGGTGGTGCATGATTCACAAATTGTGCTACTTAAGTTAATTGATTAATTCTTTACTGTTGCCATAGATGAAATGCTGTGGTGTGAATGACTTTACGGATTGGTACCCAGTGCTGGGAGAAAACACTGTCCCAGACCGATGTTGTACGGAAAACTCCCAAGACTGTGGACGGAACTCCACCGAACTAGTGTGGAAAACGGTACGGCTCACTTTTCACTGAATTTCACTGAATTTTTTAGAGTTGGAAGGGACCATAGAGATCATCTAGTCCAACTCCCCTGCTGAAGCAGGATTGCCTAGAGCTAGAGCATGTTACT